TTAAAGTCAGTGTCCTGGCTGTGACTGTCCTTTTAGACAGCCATGTCAGTGTCCTCTGCCTGTGTGTGATTCTGGGATACATGTACTGCCTTTCTAATAGCTAAACCTCCAACCAGTAAAGTAGCTGCTGCATCTGTCAGCCTTGATAGAGCCTCCTGAGAATGAAGCTGACCTGCAGTGTCTGGGATAGAGCAATCCAGGGCCCCAGATTCTTATGGAGTTGGAGGTCTTGTAACAACCCTTATCAGAAGCATGTCTCAGGTTCAAATCTATTACAAAAGCCTAAGTTATTCCTGTATGATAGAGACACTGTGTTTTGATTTCATGATTGATGTTCTAAGCAAATATTCACCCGTCCCCTTATATAACTGAAACCCATTCATACAAATTTTTAAAAAGTTCTACATAAATGATTAAGTCATTTACATTCTCTTATGACAATCTTCACACTTGATAGAAGACAGAAGCTGAATAAGCATTATCGTTTTTAATAATTTCCATGTGGTCTGCTAAATCTTAGAGAGCTAGTAATTGTGATTAAATTGTACACAGTCTCTAACATTTTGTGAAGGCATATTATAAAAGTGAGGATTGCTCTGGAATAAATTATTGAGAGATGTATGTCATTATATATTCACCATGAATTAAGGAAGTGTTTCTAGGCATCATGTTAATCCATGTCAAGGAAGGACAATGAAGGTCAAGGAGGAAGAGCCTTGAAAGCTTCTTAGAATATGAATTATTATAGTGGGGTCAATATGATTAGCAAAATGAGCAATGATAGTTAGTAGAGTGTTTCCTGAACAAGAGGCAATCATAAGATCTTTGTGGAAAGAAGGCTAAATTATTCTTCACAGGCATAAATCATTGTAGTATTCTTGACAATTCTTATTATAATTACCATATTGCACTTGCTGCTTTCTCTGTAAAGCAGCAAGAAAGAATATTCAGTAGCGGTTTTGGAATGAAGCACTAATATCACTCTAAAAGAGCATAGAAAGTAGAAAATGAATACTCTGAAGAGCTATGGAAAAAGCAGAACTGAGAGCATATATTTCCATAACCAAAAGAGATTAATATTATTTTCTCCTCTGACATTTTTTTCTTTTACTTTTTTTTTTTTTTTTTTTTTTTTTTTTTTTTTTTTTTTTTTTTTTTACTGCATATTTTAAGCTAAGATTTGTTTCGTATTCTATGCAAGAATTTTGGACTGTGAAGAACAAGATTTAAAAATCATCAAGAGAAACAGATCACTTATAATGTATTTTAACACCATACTATTTTCAAATAATATAAACAAAGATTTAACACATAAACTGAGGGAAATAATTTTGTGATTAACTGTCAATGGTTTATGGGCTGAAAAATGCACTTAAAATATCATAGATTTGATAGGTTATTTAATAGGTGATAGTGAATAAAATAAAAATCTCAGAATCACAGAATCTTGTCATATTTCTGTGATAAAGTAAGTACAAAATACACAAAAGATAAGGCACAAAGACAACCTCTCTGTCCTTCTAAGGATGTGCAAAATACTTACAGTTTTACCATCTTTTATTTATAAATTATAGTATCAAAACTATTAATATTTTAAAGGTATAACTGTAATAAAAAATTGCAATTGTTATTTTGGACAGCATGATTTATTAGTTATAATGAGGCAAAATATTATTCATTTTTATCTACATTATTGTGTATTTTTGCTAGGTAAATAATTGTGAGTGATTTTGTAAAGTAAAAAACAGTTGCTGGTCACAGGAATATTGAAAACTCTTTCCTTTGCAGATATTTATATTTTGCCTTACTTAAAGGAAGCTTTGAAATTATTATATCAAGAATGCATGTAGATCTTAAAAAACTATGATTGAGTGCAACAGTATCAATTTAAAAAGGAAATACCATTCTGTTCATTAGGGAAATAAAACTGAATTTTCTGATGCAATAATGAATGCATTGCTTCTTCACTGACAAATTTTGCAGTTGATGTAGTTGATGGTTATCTGCAAAGATAGGTGGCATCATAGATGTGTCTCTTTTCCAGTAATACATTTTTATTGCTCTCTTCGCTAACATTCCTAACAAATGTAGCAAATAAATTGTCAATTCATTATTTAGTAGTAATTTAATAACTGACAGATAAACTGACAATATGTTGATTAACTCATTTACATATAACAATTTAAGTGCAATTTTAGATTTTCTTATTAAATTTAAGGAAGAAGTATTATTTCCTAAGTGACTAGTTTTACTTAAAAAGAAAATACATACACGATCTTATCATAGTTCTAATCATGAACTTGTTTCATTTAGTACACTGAGCACTTGAGAATACAGATTGACCAAATGTCTTTTTATTCATTTATTTCTCTTATGAATCTTAGTTTCCTCTCCATTCCGTTTACTCACTGTATTTTCCATTTTGCCCTTCCACTTCTGTTCAAGTTCCTTGTTTTCTGTCAGCAGGCCAGAGCAATTATATTGAACAGTTTCTGATCAGAAGAAGTGACTAATCATAAGAAGAGGTGGATTTAGTTGCTTAAAAGAGGCACTGAGGATATTCTGCATTACCATCAGGTACCACTCCAAGGTTTCCAATGGCCTATCAAAGCAGTGAGGATCTCTCATATTGAGGCATCTCAAATGAAACTAGATGCTTATTTTTAAGCAACTAAATTATTAATTAATTATTATTCAGAGATGACAGAATTTCAAGTGCTTATTTTTTTCCCCTGAAATTCTTGAAAACCTACACAGTTATTACAATGCAATTCCCTTTTAAACTAAAAATTCTATGCTTGCAAACAGTTGTTTTTGTTTTGAAAGGACACTCTTGTTCTACCTTGACTAGTACTAATATTCCATTCCTATGAACTGTTTTGACAAATCAGAGCCTAGATAAGAAATCGTATGAGTAAGCTGTAGACAGTGATAGGACAAGGGGGAATGGTTATACACTCGAGGAGGGAAGGTTTAGATTGGATGTTGGGGGAAGTTCTTTGTGGAAAGAGTGGTGAGGTGCTGGAACAGGCTGCCCAGAGATGTTATGGATGCCCTGTCTCTGGAGCTGTTCAAGGCCAGGTTGGGTGGGCCTCTGGGCAACCTGGTCTACTACCAGATTTGGAGGTTAGTCCACAGTTGATGTTAGCTAATTGGAATTTGATGATTCTCTGGGCCTCTGCCAACACAAGCCATACTAGCTTCTTTCTTGGACATTTTCTTCCACTAAAATAGTCAGGAATTCCATTCCCATTTTTGTTTTTGTGTCCAGCCTTTTTTATGCATCTAGTCATTTCCTTGGTCAGCCAAATACTTGATGTACAAGAGACTCAGGCTCATTTTGTGTATCTTACACGATTCTGAATTTCAACCAAAAATCCTGCCATTAAACCCAAAAAATTATTTTTACCCAAGCAAAGTTTCTAAAAATAGATTTGAATGTGTTGCTTTTTTTTTGTTGTTCGTTGGTTGGTTCTTTTATGTTTTAGATCTCATGCTAGTTATAAACCTTAGGTACTTTTTCAGGATGACTATTTTCTTAGAATAGTAAATATGACATTCACTTGTGCTCCAGGTCCAGAAGATCCATAAATCTTATCAGTTTTGTTTCCTTTCTTTACTTCAAGAATAATATGATAATAATTAAAATTCAGTGTCACTTACTTTTACTCTCTAGATTTACTTGTAGTTGCTCCTTAATTTTTCCCACTTTTGTTTAGAGGATATACATATGTAGCCCAAAAAGTAATGCCTCCTAAATCTTGTAAATATTTTTATTAAGTAAATATTCACGATCATTGTAAAATCACTGTTTTTTCTGACATTTCGCTACCTGGAATAACTTTGGATCCTTGTGCGCTTTCCATAAATTGTCTCTTCCCTTGTACAAAATTCTAGTTTATTTTTTCCAATTTACATTCTCTTTTTTGAAACGTATTTCATTGTCTTTCTTTTCTGGTAAAGCTTTTTTTAATAACTTTCCCAGGTCCTCTTTGATTTGAGATTAACTGATTATTTTTACAACAGAAAAGTAATTCAATTGCACTCCTCCAAACAGAAAAGTGTGATCTTTTAACATCATCTGATCACTGGTGTCATCTTTCTTTCATAACATGCTATTTCTGTTTTTCTTAAGATATAGATATTAAATACAGAGTTTACAAAGCAAAGTAATTAGTTCTTTGGCCAGCGAATAAACACAAAAAACCCCACTCTTTACAAGGTAAATAGATGTTAAATTAGATATATTTTCATCATAGAGTAAATATTTAACTCAAGAATAGTGATTAGAACTTGTACGTTCTATGAATGCTTACCTATTTTTTTTTATTCTCTGTCCTTTGAACTGATAACTGTTGCTAGTCACACTGAATTAGTTAATTATCACACACACATGTTTCTGTTTAAACACATTCGCTTTCAAGGGAATTGTGAAAGAAATATTCTTATGCTACTGTATTGATTGGTGAGCTATTAAGGTTCCAATTCAAGAAACATCTGCTAGTTACTCAGCCTCAGGTGTCTTGCTTGATTAAGTATTAATTCTTAAATTGATGCCAGATTCTCATTAACGCTCACATGAATAAAGATAGAGACTAACTGTATTAGTTCTCTAAAACAACTCCTTAAATGAGTAATAGCTGCTTTGTTTTCATGAGATAGAGTCTTATGTAGTTCTGGAAAAATGAAGGGATACATTAGGAAGTATACCTGAATCAGTATAGTGGTAACAAAGACGTGAAATTCATAACTTCAACTTCTTAATCTCTGTCTGACTAGATCTGTAGACAGCATAAGAGATTGGTACAATGTATGTGTAGGGGAACTGCTGGATCACAGCCTGAACCTCTGATTGACCACTGGAGGCAAGCACTGAATCAGCCATGGGAGCACAGGTGAAGGCAATTCACCTGTGTGATCGGAAGGGGTGGAGCCTGGCTCCACCCCTCCTAGACCCCATTTAAGGGCTGACTGCCACTGAGAAAGGATCTCTCTCTAGAGGTTGTTTCTTGTGGAGTTTCTTGTGAGCTTACAGCCTGGTGAGTAGTTTCCACTTCTCTCTGGTTATCATTTCCATCATGATAATCTTACTACCCTAACTTCTTTGTATACTTATCAATCATCCAATGCTTTACAACATCTGTATACTAATTGATTTTACAGTATTACTTTTGAAGACTGCAAGAACTAAATGTGTTTTGCAATTGAGAAACGTGTTCTCTACATGATGCTGAGATAAAGAATAGCTTGTTTTTATATAATCATATTTGGATGTTAGAGATCTAGTTCCAGATAATTTTGGGAAAACTGTCTCTGTTCTTGAATTCAGATGATAGACGATAGAATGTCTTAGTCTTTCTTTAAAAGATCTTTAATTCAGTCCTCCATACCTACACCCCCATGTTTAAAAAGAGAAGAAAAAGCAAAATCAATTAACACTTCAATTTTAGGTACTTTGATTTTATGTACTATGTAAAAAGCTCATGGATTAACAGAGAAACAGGTGTTACGTTGTTTTTCAGACAGAACAATTTAAGTATTAAATTTTATTTTAATAATAAATACTGCTAAAAGACAGTTTTGCAAAGCAGAATTGGTGATTTTTGGTGATCAGTTCAAAGCTATAACTTCAAAATTATGCTTGTTTTCTGTCAACAATGTAAATATTCAAATTATTTCAAACAGTAATGATGTGACAAATTAGATATCAAACGTTTGACAGTAACAGAAATGCGAAGTCATGGCCTGAAACAGTGATTTAATACCTGGTAGAAAGGCAGGACCAACTCAGGAGCTCAGGTGCACGCAGTGCAGCTGTGTGACCAGAAGAGGTGGAGATAGGATCCACCTCTTCCTAGATCTCATTTAAGGGCTGGCAGTAAAGGTAAGGGTATCTTGTAGAAGGTCCCTGTGTACTTGAGGCCTTCTAGGAGTGAGAAGGCTTTTCTGTTGTCTTTTCCCCACTTTGTTTCTGCTTCTACAGACCACATCTTTACTTGCTGTAGTCTAGGATTTTGCCACCCTACTCTTGTTGTGCTTTCCATCACACTATAGCATTACAGTAACACAACTGTTTTTTCTGATTTTTTTTTTTAAAGTAACAAGCACAAGAAAAATATGGAATGCCTGAATGTGGGAGCCTACTTTTCTTTTCTGAAAGGTAAGCCATGAGTTGATTTTTCTATGTGACTACTGCATTACAATTATATGAAAAAATACTGAAAATATTACAATTAAATCAATACCCTTTCTCTTAGCTAATGAACTGTTAAAGACTGGGGAAGGCAAAAACGCACAAACAGAAAAATAACCTCAATGCTTAATTCATCTTTGTTTTATCTATATTATTTTTCTTAACAGCTATGGAAATGTCATTTGGATAAAATTCTTCTCAATTTAAGTAGCAATACATTTACAAAACTTGCTTTTATTTTTAATGGTAATATAAAAGTACTCACCTGCAAAGAAAATGCAGTTAATCTTACTGAATTAATGTAAATTTATTCAATACCTAATCTGTTATCTATAAGGGTAGGCCTTTTTTATTCAAAGAAGTAAAAATATAAATGAATGTAATAAGGCATTATTTCATTTATTCTATCATTTTCAATATACTTATTGTTTCCTGAAACTGTAATATTAAAATTGAACCAACTGACCAGAAATGCTCTTGTGTACTCAACTTTTCAGTTAAGAAAAAGAGTATATTGTTGTTGTGCTTCTTCAGTTTGGTTTGTGTCAGAAGAATTACGGTAATACAAATTGGCTGAAGAAACTAATGTCAGTTCTTTCTTCTCTGCCCAGTAACAATGACAGTTAAGTTTAAATCTTTGTTTAAATGTTTACTAGTAACATCATATTCACAAGCTGGTTTTCATTGGTAGGTTTCTGCTCTGCTGTTTTATCAAGTCCGTACATACAGAGATCTGTAGATTGATGTTTCCTCTCTTTAGTCTGAGAAATTAAGGTGAAGATGAAGACTTAAGGGAAATGGAGGCTTCTTAGGACTAGACAGGCAAAATACCAGTCTAAGAAGACGGGACTGATTTAATACAGAAGTTACATAACTTAATAAATATGCATCTTTATGAATGCTAATCTCTTGCAATCAATGTTATCAGTCATCTCACTGTATCCAAAAGTGTGATTGATCTAACTGGTGGGTGTGTGTGTGTCACACATACACAGAGCTTACTTCATGGGTTGTAGCTCCTGTCAGGAAATATCTAGCTTATCAAACATGGAATCTTACATCAGAAATGTGAAATACTTGCTGCACATATTGTGGCCTCCACAGAGTACTTGGGAATATCTGCTCTGTAACACCTGGAACGCCTTCTGTGATTTTGTGATCATTAGATTTTTGACACTTCTCATTACGCATTTAGCAGTTTCTGCACTTCCTTAAATGTGTTTCCACAGAGGTGCTGCTGATGTGATTGGTAGGCTTAAGTAGAACCGACTGTGTCTTCTCACAGAAGCAATCCATGCAGCCCCCTAGTGCCAACACCTTGCCCCCAGACTCCCAAAGCAGTATTATATCAGGCAGTCTTAGTGCAGCAACAGCTGTTTTTACAGAAAGATAAGTGCATTTGAAAACTGGAAGCATCTTTAGAAACTTTTACAAAGTGTTTACTAATGCCATTAATAATGTCAGTATCTTGTCACTGATAAAATCTTTTGTATGTTGGTTAAGGTTTCTAGTAGTAATCGAGAGTAACTTGAGCAGAAAATGATGACGTGAAGTACAAGAGTCTTAAAAGAGATAATAGGGAACTTCTTTGATTTAAGAAGGAAAAAGTATGCAAAAATATTTCTTCTTTGTCAAAGATATTCTTTGATTTTCAAAAATGTCTAATTCTTTCCAATCATTAGCAAACTTGTGCAACATTTATTCTACCTTATTGCTGAGTTTCAAAATTCCTTGGGCCTCATGAAACAGATAGGATAGCACAGGTAACAAAACACATGCAACAATCTGCTTTACAGAAACTTCCTAGGAGTCTTCTACCTTTCCTGCTGTTAAAGATTATGAAAAGTCTGAATTTCTGAGCTTCATAGTTATTTGGAAGAAAATGGCAGTTGCTAAAGTGTTTTTAAAGTTTCTTCATGCTAAGATGTTTTGTTTTGAGCACATGAAAAATATAATTCATGTAATTCCCTAATAAGGTTTCATTACAATTACTGGAAGACAATGTTAAGTGTTAAGATTTCAATAAAAATAGTGTGAGTAATGTGACAGAATTAAAGTTGTCTGGAAAAACACCTCACAATTGACTTCTTTAAAGTTGTAGCATAATAAGTATATAAATAAAGCAGTGCAAATAGTTGCAAATACTTTACAGTCACTTTGTTATTTTTCTTATTATCAGCCATGTGGAATTCAGTATGCTTTGAAGACAAAAATGGTTATTTAAAAAATTCACTTTAATGTCTATCAGAAAAAGCTTGAGAGAGGAAGGATGGGTGGAGCAAAGTAAGGACTGAGTGGAAAATATTTTCATGAATATTTCTTATTCCAGAGAAATTTAAATATCCCTTATTCAATGAAAAAAATTAAGTATTCTTATTTCCTACTTTTCAAAAACAAAAGTCAGGTTCACTCAGTATTTCTGCATCTTAAGCTTGTCTAATGATATATTCCATCTCTGATCAGCACCGTACTTATAGTTTACTAAAGTACCTGTGAAGACTGAGAACCTAATAGCAATTTGTTATTACTAATGGATCCTTTTATCTACTTTTCACTCCATTTTATACAATCTAGGATGTTCGTCTAATATAAAATGTTGATGAGTCAGTGAAATGCTTGCATTCAGTGTGCTGACCCAAAGATAAAGGGTTGAGGCAAAGAATATTCAAGGGTTTACAGATCAAACTCCAAACTTGTGAGTGTAGGATGAAATCTGTAACCGTTATTTAGAGTGACTGTGTGTTTAATCCTTACAGTGACCAATAATTAAGAGTCTTAATGGATTTTTTCACTTTTTTTAAGCAGCCAGTTTGCAGCTCCTCCCATCCAGACCAAATCTCACTTTGTGTATTGATGTATCTTCCACTTGACTGCATGATAATGTTTATCGTTACAGTAGAGATTTATGGTTAGAAATCTACCTTAATTCTTATTTACAGTAAATTAAAACAATCTCCACTAGACTAGTGGCTGAAACACTTACCCAACATACACTCCAATGCTTATTGAATCTCTGTACAACTTTATGAGATGGGTTGAACTTATTTCTGAAGACTATTTATTAGTTCTCCAGACAAATTAAAGGACCTTGATAATTGTAAGTCCAATTTATGTTTTAATGTGGCTCCATTAGGGACTTTTATGGCTATAATATCATTACTGGTGTACATTTATTTAATACAAACAGTGGCTATCAATTAAAATGAGATTGAAGTGGAGCTTGGGGCAAATAAATTTTCCTTTTAGTATGCATCTGTAACGAGATTGTATGAGGATATAGGTGCATTGTAATGGCTTATTCTTTGAAGTTAAATGGATCCAAATCTGGGACCGTTTCTGCCTGCATTAAAGAAGTTCTAGCATAATACAATTCTGGAAGCATCTGAACTGTTCCTTTGAGAGATCACTTACACAAGCATAATCTCCAGGGATATGGGACCTCAACATCAGTTCTAAGAAATTCCTTTTCTCTCTATGAGCCAAGGGGGGGGGGGGGGGGCGGCTAGCTTCCCAAATGCCATGGATATCTCCTGCTGCTTACCTTGCCAGCTTATGGATGTTACCACTGCATGAAAAATCTACAAAATATTTCACTTAATTCACTTAAGTGAAGGAAGTTGAAGAGAGGTACAGGAAGAAGAGATCTATTTTACAGAAAAAACAAACAGCTAATAAAACTTTCAGATGCAGCTGGAAGATCTTGGCTTGACTTCATCATAAAGACACAATAACTAGAATTTATTAAGAATGCTTTTTCTGATGTATGCTTTAATTTTTGTAGGAATGCCACTTAACAATAGGTGGTAACAACATAATTTTAATCATTTATTTAATCATTTAATCATTTATTCCTACCAAACCTTTTTCCTATTTTTTCCTACAGTGAAAATACTACTTACACAGATTATATCTGAGAAACATTGCAGAAAGGTATTTTGTATTAGATTCCTTTATTCACATTAAATTTGACTTGGAATCTGCTAAACAAAAGATAAACATTAAAAATGACTGTTTGTAAGGATGGACAGTGATAGGACAAGCGGGAATGGTTTTAAACTAAAATAGGGAGGTTTAGGTTAGATTTTAGGAGGAAGTTTTTCACACAGAGTGGTGATGAACTGGAAAGGGTTGCCGAGGAAGGTTGTGGATGCCCCATCCCTTGAGGCATTCAAGACTTGGCTGGGCTAGTGGTTCTGGAAAGCCTGGTCTAGTGGTTGGTGACCCTGCACATAGCAGGGGGGTTGAAACTAGGTGGTTATTGTGGTCCTTTTCAACCTAGTATTTTCTATGATTCTATAAATGTTTTTGCTGAGGGGATGAAATATTTAAATATGAATAACTTATGTTGGACTACTTGTTATTATCTTCACATAATTTCCATATGGCCTTAATTTATTTTAATAAGCTCAATATTTTGATGTAATTTTGTATTACACTACACTGCTACATTTCAAAGTTTGCTATTTGATTTTGTTTCTTCTGAACTCATAGTTTTAATATGTACATCTGTGTTCTCTGCCCTTGTCCCGATAATTCCATATTTAACTCTGTTTTGCTGTAATGACACCTAAAGTAAAATTTACAGAGTTAAAAGTAAAGTCAACATTGATCACAGGACTTGGATACTGAAAATCAAAACATTTGAAGTGTTGAAATAAATGAGGAACTAAGGTAAAATAAGCCAGGAACTGTCCATAATTCTGAGTCTTCATCAAGTTTAGTTCCAAAAATGCATAATTTCAAAGTTCAAAATAGTACCAGTTTGTTGTGAAAGGAGAACTCTTTAGAATGTGAACTTTCCCATTTGTGTGTCTTCATACGAAGAATATGTATTAGCAGTATTAATTTAAAAGCATTTTTAGAAATGCCCTGAGTTATGAGATTTGTGCTCTGAAGTGATCTTGAGGTAACAGTGAAAAGAGTTGTGGGGAAAAATTTAAGTCATAAAGCTTCTAATAATCTGAAGCAAAAGTTATTTTTCATGAATGAGGAATTAGGACCTCTATTACTCTTTAAAATAAAATGCCAAAGTATTTTTAATAAATAGTCACGATTTTCAGTTATATCTGGAAATACATAGATCTGGCTTAGACTGAATACATTATACAATAATGTTGTCCAGTTATTAAAAAATTGAATCTATTATATTTATGCTTAAAAATTACTATGGGATATGTTTATTTTTCATATTAATACAAGAAATTTTCTAGAATGTTCCGCAATCTCCTTATGGACTCCCATTTATCTGTGGTAAGTATTTCTATAAATTACTTCATTATTAGTAATTTTGGTTTTTATTTACAGTTTGTAGAAAGCTATTTCAAGCAAGGTGAAGATCACTTAGGTTTCTAAGCTGTCTAACCAAACTGACTTATTTATATACTTAAATCTTAATATCCTTTGAACACTTGAAACAGAAGTGAAAGTTTTTTTTTTTTTGTCCTTGAGTAAAAATTTTGGGTTAGAAAGAGCCTTACATATGGACTACTGTTCCAGGATAAGATGTCTATTTGCATTTATGCAATTCTTTGCGTTTCCTTTTTGGTTCTGATGCCTAAAGAAATTATGATTAACTAAACCATGAATTACTGATATTAGCTATCTCTAGACATGGATACATGACACTAGGGGAGAAAGAGTCTGGGTAGGATAAAAATAAAAATGCACATTTCATGTTCCTGGTAGAAATTGCATTAATTTAGACCATAATACTAGGAAATCATAAAAATATCTACAATCTTTCAAGCTTCAAACACTCAGTGTGTATACACACAAATGGAGATGGCAAAGAGGATGGAGTCAGGCTGTATTTAGTGTTGCTTGGGGACAGGACAAAAGACAAAAACTGGAATACTGTAGGTATTTCCTGAACATCAGGGAAGATTCTACACTCACGGAGAAATGGCACTTGTTGCTGTATCGCCTGCAGCTTCTCTGGACTACATCTTTCTTGAAGCAGTAAGTCCATCACTCACAGGACAATCTGTTCTAATAACTTACCTCTTTCTGTGAGGCAGTTATCCTTACATCTATTCTAATCTTCCCCTGATGGGACTTGAGGTTGTTTCTTCGCTTCCTATTACTTGTCACCTGAGAAAAGGATGAGACACAGGAGGAAAAAAAAAAAAAACAAACGCATTAGAAATATACAAGAATGGGTGATTGTTAATTAGAGGAATTTTTCTACCTGTGTAGGTGGAGAGAAGCTTATTCCTTTGCTATATCTAATATTGTCTTTGAAATATACTGTGCTTGAGTATGCCTAAGTTTAGAATCGCTTTATATTTCTGAGAAACTGTAAAGCATTTATATACTTGGAATATTGAGTCTTTCTTTACCCTTCCTCTGGAATGTACCTATATAATGGGTGAGAAAGTTAGCAATTCCGTGGTTGCTTGTCCAAGAGTTAATGTGGTGTCTCATTACTGTCAATACAGAACAAATTACTTAGAGAGCCTGAAACACCTTACAAACATTTGAAATGCGACTGAACAATTGTTGTAAGCAAGTTGCAGTCCGGGTTCCTTTCCTCCTGTAGCATTATAAAATCCTACTGTACTTCTCCTTT